AGCTTATTTTTTTCATTAAGAGACTGATGTATCTCATTTCTTCCCTCCAAATCATCTTGCTTGATCTGTTGCCCCTGCAGACATATCGTTTTCTGCAAGTGAGACTCTTGAATGTTTACCTCTTTCTGCTTTTGGTTACTGTCCCTAAGTGAGGAGACTATCTGCAATTGTTGGTTTATCTGTTTTAGCTCCTCAGAAATTTTCTCTGCACTCATTTTCTCACGTTCAGCCTTTTCGATGTTTTGAGAAAGCCTATTAATCTTTTCATTGCACATCGAGCGCGTTTCCTTCAGCTCATAAACCTCCTTTAGAAGCGCTGCCTCAGATGTCTGCAACTCTTCAATTGTTGATTTGAAAGATTTGCATTCCTCTTCTCTGTGACTGTTTTCCAATTTTTTTCTCAGTTCCTGAATTAGTCTTTCATTCTCATCATTCTTTGTGGTCAGGTCTTTAATTTCAAACTCTAAACCTAAATTTCTCTCTTTTATATCACTCAATTCTGATAAAGGCACATAGACCATGGTGTCGTTTTGTTTGGAAACACTCATGTCGTCACCTTCTTTCACCAGGTCCCTTAGTTTCGCCTCTAGGTGACTTATCGAGCTGGTCAAGCCGTCTGTCTTACCATGTATGGTTTTAATTTTACCTTTCCACCCACTAAACTCATTAAAGGCAGCCTGGAGACCAAATATTTCACATTTATAGTGCCTCAGTTTGATTAAAATGTCGTTAAACAACGTGTCTTTTTCATCTGCTATAACATCAACTCGTTTCCAGTCACTGGTCTTTGCAATTTCCAGCTCAGATTGCAGGCTTTGAATGTTCTGAACAAGTTCGCTAATGTAGTTTCTGTCAGCTATGCGCATCGACTCACTTTCCATAAGCTGATTTTGAGAAGCCTGAAACTGTTTTTCCAAATTAATACACTGTTGTCTCAGCTGGTATCCTTCAAGTGGAAGTCCTGTAGCCTTGCTAAAGTGCTCCTGTGTTTCTTCAAGTTTGCTTTTCAGTTTGTTATTTTCTTCTGTGAGAAGCATAATTTGCTCAAGCCTTGATGGGTCAAACGAGAGTTGCGCGTATTTCTCAGCTCGCCGTCTCTGCTGTCTCGTCGTTGCTGCTCCTTGAATCATCCTGAGATAAGAAATTAAATTCTGTGGTGGGAGTGTGAAAACACGTAACTTGTCACAAAGTCAGATGCTGTCTGATCGAATCCCTCAGAGAAGTGAGTAATGCAGTGATGCAGCTAAGTGATTATGTCACTGGCCTTTGTGATGTCATATAAGCTAAGTTCCGTACAGTAGTAGTGGTGGTAGTAGTGGCAGTAGTAGTGTAGAAGCAGTAGTAGTAGTGTTCTTGCTTCTACCCCTTTGATTAATTAATAATATTAAATATTTTAATAATTAATTAATGTAATTAATTAATTAATTAATTAATTGCACTTATAATTAATTACACTTGCTTCTACCCCTTTAATAATTGCAGCAGTAAGCAGGGCTCTTGTTGCTATGCACCTGTGAGGGTTTTGACATTAATCACCTATATTTATCACCTTTGTTGTTATTCTTCCGCAGACAACGCTGCTCGTACGGCTGTGTGCACCCCCACAAATTATATATCAAAACGAGCGGCTCGGCCACGGGAGGTGTGCTGTTCCCTTTCTAAGCAGTTTGACTCACAATGGTGAAATATTTAGCAAAAAACTTTGAAAGGTTTTTAATTTTGATGCTGTGACAAATTTAAATTTGCATAATATTTGCACAATGATCAATTAAATGTGCACATAATTAAGGGGTAATTAGATGGCAGGCCCTCTAAAGGAGCAGTTTTACACATGCATGAATAATATCATCATTTTGTTTTTTACCTTAATGTAACCCAAAAATCATTATTTTGGGGTTTTCACGCAAACATCACCTAAATATAATTTTTTTTGAGGTTTTTCAACCTAAATATCATTATTTTGGGTTGTTCACCCAACATCAGCCAAAAATCTTTATTTGGCCTCTACAGCATGTGGCCAGTATCTTGACCTGTAATATTATTTTTTCGCGGAAGCTAATATGGCTCGAACGGCAGCATGCACCCCACAAATTATACATCAAAACGAGTGTCGGCCATGGGACGTGTGCCATTACGTTTCTGAGCGTTTTGTTTTACCATAGTGAAATGATTAGATATTGATATTTTTTATCCATATTTAACCAGTTAATTAATTGTTGATATTTTGGGCTGATGCCGTCTTTTTGGTGTTGTCTTTGTAAAAAGAAAGAGTGAGTCTTCTTTCATCAAATGCATTGTCTGACATTACGAGTCTGACCCATCGGTCTGAACTTTATCTACTTCCACCCAACTTTTATTACAGCACACATGACACAATATGCATTCAGGAATGAAAAATGACAGAAAAAGCATAAAACAACAGCCATACTCCAAAGAAAAATGCAAAAATAAAACTCAGAAATGCCAAGTAAGGCCACTTTAACATGCTACAGAAAAGTCTGGCTTCTTGGAAGCGATAAAAACAAAATAATTCAACATTCATAAGTAGCTTAGTCCTCACATGGAGTTTTTCTAGTGAATGTTACCCTCTGCAGTCCAGCTCAAATCATCTCACCTGAGCAGGTGAAACATTTGCTCCAACCCTCTCATCATTCTGCTGAAAGACCCGCTCAAGTGATCTGACCTTTTTATCACAAACTAATATTTAAAAAAAATCCTACAAATATCCTGATCTTGTTGAAAATCAATTTAAAAAATTGCCCTAAATTTTGGTCTTTTCTTATCAATTATGTTTGCTTATTTTTCGTTTTCTTTGATTTTTTGCGATCATCCGGTGCCCCTGCAGCTGTATGCAGAGATAAATGGCCACAAGAGGGCAGCATTGCGCTTGTGATTGTCATTCCTAAAGTCAGTTTCACTCTACTTGACCCCTGTGATCTCTTTTCATTTTAAACATTTTCACTACAGTTTGAATATTCTACAAAACATTTACACACACATAACTATAAACGTGCAAATGAAGAAATGACACAAAACCAAAGATTTGATCCCCTTTAGAAACAACACACACACACACACACACACACACACACACACACACACACACACAGTGCTGCCAGACAGCAAAGCAGGATGCAATATCTGAGTCAGAGAATCTCCAAAGCAAGACTGCTCAGGCCACTTTTGTTTAATAATGGAGACTTCTCTACACTCTATCTCCGCCCACATGCTCCAAAATGCACTCATGACACCACTGATATCTATTTTTTGTGCTAATTTTGGAGACCGCCTATGTGCTCTATCACTGTGTTTACATGCAGCCAGTAACCCTTTTAAAACCCGAATATTCACAATAACCCGGTTCCGCAGGTCCATGTAAACACCGCCAAAAACCCGGATATGCTCACAACCGGGTTTTTAAAAACCCGGTTGCTACACCTGGGGTAACCCTTTTCTAACCCGAATGTTTGGTCGTGTAAACGCATATCGGGATATCCCCATCAAAGCGTGTGTTCTGCGCATGCTCTGTTCGCAAGGAATCTTGGTCTTTTGAGCAGCGAGACGTCTTGTATGCGCCAGAACACCGGAAGTAAACAACAAGTTGGGAGCAACATGGCGAGTCGCGGCACAGCACCACACTTTTGGAGTGACGAAGAAACTAAAGCGCAAAGAAACGCGGTCGCTATCTCTTCCGAACTGGGAAACATGTTGTTTTCACGGATACCGGAACAAGAAGAACCGGAAATGACGCATATTGCGTCTGGACGTAGTCCATACGTCCTGACGCTACCCCAACGTCCGCATTTAAATCAGGTTATGCAAGTTAGAGGTAACTCTTTCTATTTATGCTTGTAAACGGGTTATTCTGATCAACTCAGAAACCCGAATACCGACCTTAACCCGATCATAACCCGGATATTGGCTGCATGTAAACGTACTCAATCACGTCTGCATTCCTAAAGCAACGCGGGCGGAGCTGAGTGGAGTGGAGCCGATGCTAGTGTGTAAACGACATTAGTAAAAGTGGAGCAAACATGGAGCTGTAGTCTGCTTCAGCACGTTTGCATGTTTTAGATCATGAACCCAGCTGATTAGTTTGATTTAGTGATGAACCAACCCTGTAGACGCTAATGAAGGTCGAGGAGACATTTAAACTGTTTAAGGAGTAAAATAGACAAACACACATTAAGGAGATAAGCTTCACGTTTGCTTTCACTAAGGAACACGAGTGGGTGCTAAAATCAAGCCAAATCTGCATAGTTTCCCTTTAATGTCAAAGAGGTACTTAACTGTCAAGAAAGAGAGAATTAGCTTAACGAGTTCAAATAAGGGTGGTGGCATGTAGGTATCATGTTGGACTACATTTCCCAGAAGCCTGTCAGAGACAGGTGGATGGAGCCAGCCCCATTGCACAGGTTTGAAGTGCAGCTGCTGGTGTAGCAGCACTGGAGTTGGTGCCAGTAAGGGTCTTTCCACACAGGTCTGAGTCCAGGCACCCACGGGTCTGCAGCTTCAGTGTCCCAGTGGTGTTAGACTCTGAAGCAATCAAAGCCAATAATAAATGCAAAGATAACAAATGTTGTTTTTTTTAATCAGTAAAATCCTTCATCAGTTAACTCACTAATTGCCTCTGTTACAACTGATTGATTAGTTTTACTTCCTTTTAATTTAAATCAAAAAGTGTCTTTTTTAAAGGTAGTTTTCAGTCTTTCTGTCTTTTATTTTTGTGTAAAACGTAATTAAAGATAATCTACCTTTTTCCATTCCTGAAATTTATTATGACGTCAATTAGACTTGTTTAATAACTTCCAAAAACATGGTGGGAAAAAAAAGTCAAAACTTGTTTTGAACTTCTGCAATCATGTGCTCCCTGGGCTACAGCACCGCTTGGTGGTGGATGAAGAACATGGTAAATTACAGTCAAAAGGAACCTTTAAAAACTTATTTTTTATCTGTGAACAAAAATATTAGCAATAGCACCCTTACAGAGGTAAAAAGATCAAAACAATCTTTCAACAATAATTTAATTTCTTGTTTTATTCTGTTTATGTGTTAACTAATGTTAGCATCTTAGCCTTAAAGGTACAAGAACCCCAAAAAATACCAGTAATGTGACACTGATGGCAGTCATCGATGGCAGTCCAAGCAGTGTTTAGAAAGAAAAAGTTTAATCTGGTTGCTTTGAGTGTTTTGACCTCTGAACTGGACAAAAGAAACAATAATTACTGTAAAAAGGCTCAAATAACAAGAAAAAAGTCACAAGTTTGGAGTAATTATTGACTTCTACTGAAAAATGTCTTTCTTTCTTTCTTTCTTTATATATATATATATATATTATATATATATATATATATATATATATATATTTATATATATATGTATATATATATATATATATATATATATATATATATATATATATATATATATATATATATATATATACATACATACATACATATATACATATATATACGTTTTTAGCTATCTTGGTTTATTTCTAGCCTCAAAACGAGCAGCTCAGTGTCGTAAACAATCGAGAAACCCCTCCAATGATGAGTCAAAACTTCCAGAATGTGACCCAGTGTTCCTCAGACTCAGCTCTCCTCCCTCTTATCGCACACGCTAGCACAAAGCATTTTTCTGTTATTAGCTTTTGTTGCTGACTGGAAGCCATTTAGTTATGGTTCATGTTTTTATGTAAGCTGGTGTTCTGTTTTGTTCCCAGTACATCAGTGACTTCATAACAAATGCATGTGGTTAAACTGGTTTCAAACACCTTGAAAAAGCCACTTGTTTTCCAAGTAATCGACTGTTCGCATCTTTAAAGGAATAGAACGTTAGTTTGTTGGTCGACCACATCAGCAAATCCATTGTAGCATTTAGCACAGCAAATAACAAAAAGAGACGGTTCCTGAAATAAAGACGTGACCTGTAGATAATTATTCAAAAATAAAAATAACTCATTAGACCAGAGGAGACGTTTACACCAGCAAGGGTTAAAAGAAGGGATTTGGTCACTGATTTAATCGGTTTTTCACTCTAAACACAAGTATGTGGTTTTAGATTCATCCTGATATTCTTTTAGAAACCAGAAGTCTTTTTTTAATACTTTTTGAGTGAAGATAAT